GGTTAGTGGCGTATAAAAAAAACAAAAGTTCTGTGAAAGCCAAAATTGATTAATTCATTCAAATTAGCCTATCACTTTTTTAAAAAATTCATTCAAATTAGCCTATGTATCACTTTTTTTAAAAGTGGTTAATATATATTTTCATATATATACTTGCTAGAAATTTTTGAATATTTATTTATAATGATAATGTTGTACTTATTTGTAACTGTTAAGCATGAGTCTCAAATTCTTTCCACAATATTATCAGATGTCTTATTTGAAATAGATGACTATCTTATGTTTCAAGATCTTTTACAACAAGCTGATATCAAGTATGAAAGTGATAAATAGTTAAAGTTGAAGTTCGTTGTGTAGAAAATAAGCAGTTCAATATGGTTGCATCTGGAGTTAAGAGTAGTTTAGTGTTATGTCAAAAGGATGAAAGAAATGTATCACATATATGATTTACAATTAAAGATGGATCTGTTCAATCAACTAACTCAATCAATTATACAAATGCATTTAATATTATGATAGAAAATTCTATGTAACATTCTCTTCCTCTTCTAAAACCTGGTAACACTAAACAAGATAAATTATATAACAATACATGTATTACAAAAAAAAAAAATTGTGGATAATTAAATGAAAAAGAAACTATAGTAGAAAAACAATTTTTAGAAAGTTTTAATGCTTTGTTTTAGAAACTTGATGAGTATTATTAAAAACTACAAGCTCAGAGTTGTCAAATTCCTGAATTTGTTTTATCTTTATATAGATATCAGAACAAACAATATTATAAAAAAGAATTTCATTATAAAAAAGAAAATTTGCAATGTTTTAAATTAGAATTGTTAGTAAAAGCTGTTAAAAATTGTGTAACTCAACCTTGGGCAGCAAGTAAATCATGAAATGAATTTATAACTGAAGTTTTTATTTTAAATATAAATCTATTTGTAACAGTCTGTTACATAACAGCCTCAGAATATAGTCTTAAATATAGCATCAGAAAATAGTCTTAAGCTAAACCAATAAATTTAAAAATCAATTATTATATTTATATAAATTAATGCTTATAAGTATTAATTTATATAAAATATAGTAGTATTTGACCAAAGAATTTAAAGAATAAATCAGAAAAACTATAGTTTACAAGTTTAAAAAAATATAGAGTTTTGAAAAATCAAATATTGTTATATACAAACAAGAACATATATATGAATTCAATTCACAGAGTTAAATTAACAATCTTCTGATTAGTTATATTTTTAACATATTATAACTTTATAAAGAATTTCAAATTAAAAATATTATTAATGTTAATTATTAGTTTGATATAAGAAAAATTGTACAGCAATATAACTTGTTCTTCCAAAACATCATTATCAGAGTATTAAAAATAAATAATATAGTTGTTACTCAATTTTCTAAAAACTACTTACTTGACAATCCATTTACCTGATATCATAGAGTGACAATTTAACATTTAGTTAGTTATAAGTATATTTTATTAATAAATTTTCACTTCATATAATGTCAGGTAAATAGACTTTAGGTAAGTAGTTTTTAGAAAATCATACTGTAACCTATAATATATTTGAATATTAGCTAAATTTTATATCAAAATTGTACATATTCATTGATAAAGCTATATATAATACAGATTTTCTAGTTATAAAGTCTAATTTTACTTAGATAAATAGCTCTTTACAAAAATCTTCTATAATAAAATATTTTAAAGGCAGTCTTTTTTCTACTAATAAATTATTGAAATAATTTTGCTTATTCTATACTAATTTTTATAATTAAATTTGTTAATTATAGAAATAAGGCATTAAAAAACTCTTTAAAGAAAATATCTCTTATACTTACAATATATAAAAATCATTTTAGTATACCAATATTAATTTAAATACTAGTTTTTCAATTCTTATACTGGTAAAAGTTTTGTATTACTCATTAATATAAATAATGATAATTAGTAGCAAAATTATAATGTAAAAATTAGTTAATTTATATAGTATGATCAATGAATTTTCAAATTAACAGTAGTATCCAAAAGAAAAAACAAAAAAAATTAGATTGAATTATACTTCTATAAAATAGAAAATGCAAATATATTTTTGTTTGCATTGATGATTCTAATATTATGCATAATGCAATTTAGTGTTTATAGTCAATTTCATGTTAGTTGATTTTATTGACTTAGCTAGCTATGTTAGCTGATTTTTTAAAAAATCAGCTTAGTCATAGTCAACTTAATATTGGGTTATATTGAAATTATAATAACTAATCAAATTTTATCAAAAAAAGAAATGCATGTAAGTAATAACAATAATAACTACTATCAACTATGAATATAATGAAAATCTGGGCTAACCAAAAAATTCTGTTATATAGCCTATTCATTATACATATCTATATACCTATATACCTATATAACAGAATTAATAATAAAGTTAGACTAGATTCTGTTATAATGGTTAATATATATATATATATATTGCACTCTTATTGGTTGCAAGTTGTTGCATTATATTGAATTCGTTATATAGATTAAAATTTTATAATAAAATCAGTATATAGGCTGGCAAAGAGTTCCATTATACATAATATAACTTTATTACTATTAAATCTGTTATAACCATTATACATTATATATTAAAAATTTAGTACTTCAAATTTGGTCTGTTAAACTGATAATTCTAGTGTAAGGATGTCTGTTATATCCATAGTTGACAATAGAAATAAAATGTAGTTGTAAATAAATTTGTATTTAATCAGGTGAACAGTTTGCAGTATCTTATAAACATTATCAGCTATCAAGAATTCTAATTTTTGTGATATGCAATTGAAACCGGTTATGTATAGATAATAATATCGATATATAATATGCATGCATACATATAAGCTAGTTTTATTAATCAGAAAAATAATTACCAGTATGTAAATTTTACTACTTTTCAACTTCTCTAACTGATAATGATCCTACAAATTAGCAATAAATTATATATGCTAACCTGAAATCTATAGAAAACTATGTAAAAGTCTAAAACCTTGTTATTATGGCAAGATAATATGCTGATCACATAGATATGCATTACTGTAAATATCATACTAGTATGAGTAATCTTCTATTATAGCATTAGACAACAATATGATCAATAAAGTGACCAAAATTAAATGAAAAAAATAATTTTTTATTTAATGAAACCTTTTTTAATGCAAATTCATATGTCTTATGATCATTCATGAAAGCTGAAACTAATTTGCTCTAAACGAAATTATTTGTGACATTATAACTATGATAAACTCTTGTTATAGTAAAGATTTGATGTAATAAGAATTCAAAATCAAACATTCAACCAGTTTTGACAATTGGACTAAATAGACTTATTTTTAATTAGAACTAATATATGCCCAATTAAAATTGAACATATGTCTAATTTTGAATAAACTATATCCAATTTCTGCAATTAGTTCAATTAGCGAACTGATTTCAACTGATAAAATGCATATAGTATTCTCTTGATGTAAGATAGCTATAATAAAAGTTATTTGTATATACTATATAATATTATAGCTACATAATATTACTATTGTATGATGTAAAATCTAGCTTGGGTATAGAAAAATCTTAGCATAACCAACTTCATCTTCTAGAATAAACATATTGCATTTATGCATATTAATGCCTATGAGCATTATTTAGACATGCAATTTAAAGAGAACTAATAATTAATTTAGCCAAAGACAATAACAAAACAATAAATCACATTCAGCTAAATTAATTATTAATTCTCTTTAAATTGCATGTCTCTAAATAATGCCCATGGGCATTAATTCACATAAATATTGTATTCTCTGGCCCAAATAATCTTGCAACTTGAATTCTAATAAATATTTTTGGTTTAAATAAATATGCATAAAAAAAAGTAATATAATGCATTAAAATTTGTATTGCTGCTCTTACCATTACATAAAATTAAAAACCAATCTATACAATTATTATAAATTTTAGTATAATCTGTCTTTTAAAAATATCTAGCAACCAATTGTTTGATGATATTACTAGTGAAGATAACATGTTATTTGAGTATAAAGAAATCTCTAATTTTGAAAATAGTTTTGACAAAAATATTATTAGTGATGAAAATATTATTGATAATGAAAATGATAACTATTATGAAGATTGTAGTTATATTGAAGATGAAGAGAATAATATGACAGGATCTTTGCCTATTACATCTTATTTTACTTACCAAATCGGACCTACAAAAAAAAGTTCAAACCCAAATGTAATACAAAAAAAAAAAGTAAACCTGTAATCAGCTAGGTATGAAAGAATACTCACTATGATAAATTAACAAAAATTAAACATTGTGATATTAATATATATAATGATGATGGTACTTCAAAAAAGTGTATAACAGTGTTTATGCCTAAAACAGCAACAACTAATATAACTGCACATTTAAGAACTGAATATAGAATTTATAAAATCAAAAATAGGAAGCACAACCATCACTAACATCAACTACAACTCCCACATCAACCCTCCAACAAACAGTCAAAGCGGTTTTTCAAAAGCAAATATAAAACATATTACTTTTTTTTAAAAAACAACAAAATCGTATTAGCTATCATCTTGTTGCCTAGATTATTAAAGAAATGATGCTATTGAATTGTATTAACTATGATCAGTTCTGAGACTTTTATTATAAGATCAATTGATGATTTAAAGTTCTCTGTATTAATACATTAAAAATTTAATTAAAGAATCAGTACTTTATACAGATGCAATATTAAAGGAAATGATGTCTCAAATAATGATTTCTGTTTGCATTATTACTGATTTATGAACCCAAAACTATGTTATATATATTGGCATAACAGTCCACTAGATTTCTAAAAACTTTACAATATACCAATCTTTAATCACAATTGAGCATTTCACCTATCTATATACAGAAGATCAAATCGAAAATTTTTTGTGCAAAGCTCTTGCTGAATGGAATATGTTTGATAAAATTAAAGTAGTGATAACTGACAATGCAATGTCAATAGTTAAAGCAATAAGACAATTAGATATCATCCACCTTGGCTGTACAGCACATACCATTCATCTTGTAGTCACCAATGGTTTAAAAAAAAGTGAAACTTTAATTTCATGAACAAAATCATTAAATAATTTTTTGGTAAACTGTGATAAATACAGATCATTATTCCAAAAAATTCAGCAAGAGTTAATTGAAAAAAAAAAATCAACATACTACTAATATGCATATTTTAGAACCCATATCAAGTGATACAGCTACTAGATGAAATTCTACTTATCTTGTTCTCTAGCAGCTTCTAAAACTTTGAGAATTAACTTTAGAATTGGCTAAAAGTTTGAAAAATGATTCTGATTGTACTGCTCATGCTGATGGTTCTAGTCTAAATGAAAAAATGCTTTCTGATGAAGAATAGACAGGTAAAAAAAAAAAAGTTTTAAAATGAATATATATCTTTTTTTTTGTTTTATATTATTTTATTAATAAGTTATTCGGGTATCTAAAGTTAATTTTTTGGTTCTCATAATATAAAATTTTAAAAATGATCTGGTGCTTGGCTTTTAATTTTATTTTCAAAAACTTATATACAAAATTTTTAAAAAGACTATTCAGATAATAAATATACATAAAATTTTTTTTAAAATTTTACTTGGCTAGGCTATAAGATCCAAAAAATTAACTTTGCTTGGCCTTATTAATATTTAAAAAAAAATTTTTTTTATTCTTATGCAAAAACCTAAAAGAGTTGTGTCAACTTTTATATCCATATGCAAGACCACTAACATTCATAAGAGATAATCAGTATCCAACATTGAGTATGATGTATCCAACAGTATGACACTTTTTTAAAAATTTAGACCAAATAGAGAACAAACTTACAAATATTGATGTTATTGAAGTGCACAAAAGTCTTCATAAATCAATGGTATCATGATGGAGTGATCCAGAAATGATCAGATGGTTTGCTTCATTTCTAGATTTCTATTTTAAGGCATTATTAGCCACCTTACCCACAATGCAGTGAGAGGTGCTCTGAGAATTACATGAAAAAATTGAACTTTCTTTTTATACAAATAATTTACCAACTATTAATAAAGCTTCAGATACAGAAATGTCTTTTTTTTTTGGTGACAGAATTGATTTTTCAATGTTTTTTCCAATCGATACTGAAATTCAAATATATCTTTCAATTCTACAAATCCCTAAATATGATCCAAAAGATCTATGTTACGAAAAATGTAATTCCTTAGATTGGTGAAATGAGCACAAAAGTGCCTTACCTTTCTTTGCAGAGCAAGCATAAATTTTTCTTAACATTCTGGCGACCTCTGTACCCTCTGAACAGCTCTTTTCTGACATGGGTAATACTGTAACAGATAAATATAACCATTTAAGCACAGATTCAGTTCATGATCTATTATTCTTAAAAAAAAACTCAAAAATAATTAATGTATATGTCAGCTTGTAAATTGAATTGCAAGAAATAGTGACACAAGTTATTCTATGACTTGTACACTGAGAGATTAAAAAGAAAAAAAAATCATGTGCAAGAAAAAAATTTAAATTAAAATAGAATTTTTATTTTTATTTTTTTTGTTTTTTTTAAAAATTTGTAATTTATTAATAAAGACAACTGTATGTAATCGAACAGGAGAAAACCAATTAAATTATAAAGTTTAAAAAAAATAAAAAATATAAAAAATAATGCAAAATCAAAGTAAAAATTGAATTAAATTTAGAATAAATGTAAGTGTATAATATGGTATTTCTGTTTATTTAACTAATACAAACTATATATAACAATAAAAACTTGGCTAACTTTTTATATATCTAATCTAACATCTAGATATATTATACAATCACTTTAATAATGCGACAATTATCTTAATAAAGCATATACAATTAATATATTAATTCATATTTTTAAGTTTTTTTTTATAATCACATAAAAGAAAAATCATGTAAAGTAATACTCAAACCTATGCTACCTTTGCTAAATTATTGCTTTTGTTTTTTTTTTTGTTTTTATTGCTCAACATTTAGAATTTGTAGTATAGTGTCTTATAAATTCCTTATTTACTTATAAGTTTTTGCAAAGTAAAGTGACTTATAAAAGTTGTTGGATTCAACTTATATTATTAAAATACTGCATGAAAGCTTCAAGTTGACTTAGCAATACTCCACATTTTAAAGTAAAATAAAGTATAAAAAATTATTTTATGTATTGTGTAACAGATCTACAAATGATGTAACATTTCTCCTATTATGTAATCGTTTAAATTAAAGAATGTATAAAGTATATTATACTTAATTGACTAATCATATCTATTTTAAATCATGTGCATCAAATTAACCAATTAGGTTGATTAACTCCAACTTAGCCAGCTAAGCCAATTTTTAAATATCAACTAAGTCAAGTCGATAAATTAAAGTTGACTACAAACACTAAATGCAATTGCCATTTATGCATGCTATTTTAAGAATATATATACAGTATTTCTGCATTTAAAATATGTATAGCTGTAGATTCTACTTTAAAATGTGTGTAGTGATAGATACTACTTTGAGAATTTGTGTAATAGATAATCTAGATTTTTTCTTATTGAGTAATTTGGCATTAATAAAATTTTATTTTAACAGAAGACAAAGAAATAATAAAAAAACTAAAAAATTAAATAAATATCTAATAATTCTGACAACTTGCAGTATTGTGTTCTACATTACTATATGTATGACAGGTATATTTTGTTTGTAGTTTTCTTTGTTTTTTAGTTGCTAATTTATAATGTTTAGTTGTGAACCATTCTTTATATCATAATACTAATAAATTTTTAACTTGATTGAGTTTATTTTTATTAACAATATCTACTTCAGAAGTATCATTATTTTCAATAAATTTTTGAGTTTATTTTTTAGTAAACAAATCCTTCATTTCTTTTTGCTGATTAATAAATTGCTTTAACCATGTTACCATTTTTTGATGATTATTATACTCAATAGCAAGTTGAGTTGCCTGTCATGCAAGTATCTATATTTCACTATATCTAAGTTTTTTATATGCTGTATGATATAAAATTGTACTAATTGTCTTAGATACTGTTAAAATATTTGGGACTAATATTCTATCCAATCAGTTTTTTGCTGATTTTTTATTTGTAAAACAGCAAGCTTTTAAAATAGTATTACTGTCTTTTTGCTTATTAATATACCATTATATAGGTATTATTTGAATATGAAATCCTGCTATTTTTGAATATATTATTACTCTAAAATAGTGATGGCATATAATACCTTAAAATATATTAGACATACATGAACAAAGGTATAAAATAGAATCAACTACTACTATAAAATATATGTTTTTGTTATTTTCAGACTATATGTCTACAATCTTTCATCCTTCTTGAATATTGTTCTTACCAACTTCAGCAATTATTAACTTTAATAAAATTTTTTTAGAATTATAAACATTCTCAATAAACCTATCTAATAAATTAAAATCAGGATTTTAAATATAATGAAGAATTAGATTAGTTATTATAAACTTGAAAAATTAGCATTAAATGATGATTCAAATTAGTGTTTTTGGCAAAACCTAAAAAAGGAAATTATAACAACAATAAGTACAGTATTATAATTTTTTTTAAATTTTACCTAAAAACTATTTTATTAAATTAATATTAAATTTACTTGCCTCATTAAAAGTTTTGATGATATCTAATTTCATTTAATCTGTAACAAAATAAAAACATTATGCTATTTTTAAACATTCTGCTAAAAGAATATGTAGAATAAGATATTTAGACATTAATCTATCAATTTCAGAAAAAACCTCATGCCCTACAGATGTAATTCTTATACAAAACAGTATAGTACAATATTCAAAAAAATAATTTTACTGTGCTTCATCTTAAAGTTTCTCTTCAAGTACATTAATGAAGTTACACAAGGTACTATTTGATGTTAAGGTGTGCTTTAACAATATTATTCAAGTTTTCAATACAAGAAGTTGTTTGAATCTTAGCAGTAAATATTTTTAACATAAATGCATAAGCCTATATTCACTTACTGAGATAAAGAGCCCTTATTAAATAATTCTTAATGTTATTATATTTTGTAATAAGTTGCTCTCATCTTTTATAAAAAACTTTTTTGTACAAACTATTGTGACAAAAAAAAAATTACCAACAAAATTATCATACTGATTACAGAGCTTAGATTTAAGATTTTTGGACAAATTTTTATTTATATGAAAAATGCAATAAATTTGGTAAGTTAATTCAAATGTTTGTTCTATTGCTGCATTTAATGCAGAGTTTGCATCTGTAATAAATACTAATGGCTTAGCAAGGGTTATATTTTTTATGCATTCTAAAATCTATTTATAGAACTCTGTAGTTTCATCTGAAATAATTGCTTGTGCAATAAGATGTGACCTAGTGTTGTTATCTACTGCAAAAAAAAAGTGAAAGTAGAATTTGATAATAGTTGATTTTAGCAGTATTATTATTTAAAATAACATCATAATATTTTATCCAAAAGGCAACCTGTATTAGTAATATTCAAAAAAAGTAAACAAGTCTGTTTTCATTATCAAGTTCAAACTGAACCACCTATTCAGAATTTTAAGATTTTTTTGAATTAACATTGTAAGCAAACTAGATGCATCTGTTTTTTTATCTGTTTTAACCTTAAATCTTTGAATCACATTAGCAAGATTGCACTCAAGAATAATATTATTTAGAAATTTTGTTTTTAACAGTATTTTTTAAATACTAATTGGCAAGTTTTCATGCTTAGTAAAAAATTGAATCTCATTAAGAGCATTAGCAAAAATATCTTGGTACATTAGATTATAAGTTGTAGTATTAGAACATCATATATGATTATGTGTATTATTAAGAATAGTAATAGTTATATATAAATTATCTTAGGGGTGTGGTGACCTAGTGAAGTGGATAGGTTGTCAACCCCCAAGTGGCAGGTCTAGAGTTCAAATCCCAGTGAC